TGTTCGATAGGTAGCCATCGCGCTAAAAGTTCATGTCTCATTAACAGTTGGATTTCCATTTAAAATACAACGAAATCAGGTACATTGCCGTCTACCATTTTAAACTATCTCGATAGGTAATAGCCATTGAAAAAAATGTGATGAAGTGGACAATATCTAATAGATAAGCATCATTATTAACTCCATTACTTAATTACTTTGAAAAAGTCAGTGAATTTTTTTGTCTAAACCTGTGATTTCATCTAAGGGCTAGTAAAACATGGAGAAAACTTTGAATAAATAAGAAGGGAAAATCCTGGCGCTCCAAACTATTTGCACTGGACCATTGAATCTGCATCTGGAAATGACGTCAATGATGCTTGTGGTTATAGCGAAATATTAATTCCCCAGACCCCGCTCCGTTTTTCCGGTTCCACTCATTTCATATCGTTTTCGATTTCCTGCGTGTGCAGAGGGAGAGAACATCATATAATACAGATGTACCACGTATCACCTGATTTTTGTTTCCCTCGACGACATAGCTGATTGGAACGTTCATGAAACGAAAATCTATTGGGGGGGAAAGCGTGGAAAATCGATCCCTTCCGACTAAACAGGAAGAAATTTCGGTATATATTACTGAGAGCACAGTGCACCGAAGAAGGTGGATAATATCAACGTTGATGATAATAGTAGGTGGTGTTGCATGCACACGTGTTCCATCGCCAGAGTCCGTGTGGCGTTCCCCCTTTCCTGTGTATCCCGCTATAGCCCACGGTATCCAATGGGTGTTTAGGCCTTAGGCCTTCGTGGTAGTTGGAGTATAAAAATAAATAGTGGCCACATTGGTCAAATTCCTCAAATAGTTCTGCTTTATTAATGTCACCTAACATGGACAGGAGCACAAAATACATCCAAAAGTAAGTTTTTATAAAAACACTCTAGTAACTTTTAACAATGACTTTCCATATTTACTTTGGCTTCTACTAAGCCTCACCGTCAAGGTCATAGTAAATAATGTATGTCCTAAAAGTTTTGGCACAAAATTTATTGGCTTTAATTTTAACAAACAAAATAATATCAAATTGCCTTTGGAAGCAAAAGTTTGTTTACTTACTTTACTGTCAGTTGTCATTTTGAATTTTTTGCTTTAAGACGTATAAATTAGAAATAAGAAAAAGTATCTACAAGTTGGTTGGGCGGGTATCCAAAGCTGAAATCTGTCGAATATTTCAGAATGAAAACATTTCACACAAAACCATTTATCCAACAATAGCGAAGTATAAAACGTCTGAACCTCCCAAAAAGTGGAAGACTACGTGCATTAACTGCACATAGGTCTGAGAGATTGGTGAGAGTGTCTACAAGGAGACTGGCTCGTCAATACAGATTTTCTAAGAGTACGATATCCTTGGAATTGACGAGGAATGGTCTTAAACTTAAATATCGAAAGAGACTAAAGTGCCCCAAATACTCTCAAGCGCAACTCCCTCGTATACCAAGATGCTGTCGTCAACTTTGCAAAAAAACATTATTTTAGAGGACGAAAAGTATTTCACTTAGAGCAATTCTGAAATGAAGCGAAACGACGGATCTTACACGGACGACGTAGAGGAATGCCCTGACAATGTTAGGTACTAACATAAAGCGAAATTTGCAGATAAAATCCTTATTTGGTGCGCAGTTTCTAACAGAGGTGTATCCCAACCTTTTATGGGAAGAGTGAGGGGTGAAGCCTAGAATAGAGCTATATTGATAACGGCCTTTCTAAACTGCTTCAGTTTTTCCACAAACATCATGCTAATGACCATATTATATGTATGTTTTGGCCAGACCTAGCATAATGCCATTACTCAAAAGATACCCAAAACTGGATTCGACAACACAACATACCTTTTGTTTCCAAAAACGATAATCCTCCACACTTGCCCAATAGAGGATTCTTGGGCCTTACTGTCTAGGAAGGTTTATCATGGGGGCTGGGAAGCCCAAGATGAAGAACAATTAAGACGGCCAATTTACGAAAATCTGAGTGAAGTGATCTGAATTCCGTCCAGGACCTAATGAGACGAAGAAAGTTGCGTCTGGTAGAGCAAAATAGACCACTCCACGTAATTCGATAATGTAGATTAGTTAGGTGTTGAGTTGTAATTTATGATAACTAGTTAGTGTCTAAATAAACTTGTTCATTAAAAAAGGTCCAATAACTATTTTGTGCCAAAATTAGTAGGACGTACGCAAGTACATCAGAATATATTAGAAGATAAAATTTTCCATTACCGATGACAAACAGGGGTACCCAGTTCAAAAAACTTGACTTTGCAATTATTTTGAATGTGAGGTTCAGGGTTGACTCCAAGGTCACCACTAAAATTTCCTGAAGGTCTAATAACGTTTCTGAAAAAAAATGTTGCAGTGGCAGATAGAGGTGATTGATTATCTCGTGAACTGCGAAGTATTATCACGATATGCACAAGGCGACTGTACCTCCATTTCAAATATTCAAAATACAGACCCTAGATTACAGGTCAGTCAAATTAGATCGTTGAGTTTTGTCATTGCAGTACACAAATCTATTTATTATCGTAAAGTCTACAGCTTTTTAATTATTCAAAGGCCTATACAACATGATAAATATATAGGGTGACTTTGAAGTTGAGTCATTAATTTTCAGATAATGATTGTAGAAGGAAGATAAACCAAAATATGTGTGTAAAAATAAAAAAAAAATAAAAAAAATGTTACCTTGTTTTATAAAGTATCCTCCCGATAAGTATTTCAGTGCTGACCTGTATTTGATCGTGCGGTCTTGGAGCACCGGCATGCCCTCCCCTGTGAGGTCTTAAGTCACCTGATTCACGAGCCCTTTGTACTACATTAACAAAGGCACGAGGGGTTGGTTGCACTCGATTGGGAAACCGATCCGCATAAATCCGTGATGCCGCATAAATAAGAATCATGTCCACAAGTTCAGCATTTTCGTAAACATGTGCCATTTTTCATTTCTTTTGAGGCACGCAACAGACACCACTATTCACTCACGCGTTACCGACTGACACTGACTGTATACAACTGAATAAAATAATTGTAAAAACATCGTTCCAAATTCTTTCGCTTTTTTGTTTCCGATGCGATGAACCGATAAGGCGGATTATATCCGTTGTTGCCAAACACGAGCACATAATATTATTATTGAGACAGGGCAGTACTCAAACTTCCAAAGGGCTATAACTTTGTTACTTTAATTTTACCAGAAAAATGGTAAAGGAAAAAAACATTTCTTTTGATCAGATCTACTCACTGTTAAAATAAATGACTCAACTTCGAAGTATATTAAACTCATATCAAAATGCAAACTATTTTGACGTAGAATGCCTTGAATATATCTACTGTGGGTAATGTATTTAAATTATATGTATGCATTTCATTATGCACATTGTGACGCGGTTATTAACAATTCTTCAAAATGAACTAAGCTCAAAAACATCTTCGGCGTCTTGTTGAGGTTTTAACTTTAATTATAATATAATAATATTTTTGATTGAGCATTTGAGCACTGAATGAAAGTGGAATCTTTGGTTTTTTTTTCAGACTCAATTAGTTTAGCTAACAAGTCGAAAACGACCAAGAAAAAAGTTACTAGAGACTATTTTCAGTTCAGAACGTTATGAATATTCTTTTATGGAGCAAAACACATTTTTTAGAATTGGTTGGAAACATGCTTAAATAAGTTTGCACCGTGTTACCTCTAGAAAAAATCTTGAACAATCTCCTCCAACATTATGATTATGTAAACAAAAATAAAATCGATTTATTGTCATGTGTATTCTATTGGTATGACTACGGTTCCGGAGTATTCAGAGCGCTGTGATACGTAATGTGTATGTATATTTGGCCCAATATGATAAATTGATGGTATTTTACAACTAATAACAATAACTTATCGGATCAGCTATTGAAATTATGTAGTTTTCATTGTAAAGTTGATGTTGGCGTACATGCAAACAAGACAACTAAATCTAGAAAACAATGTGCCCGCTTCAAATGGCTTTGTTCGAATTAATTAATATACAATTAACAGCGTTCACGTAACAAAGTTAGCTTGTGTATAAACGTCACTGGTTATAATTTGTTTATTATATAAATAGTTGTGATTGTCATTGGGACAAATAACCAAATATCGATGCATTGAATTATTTTGAAAAGATGATCTATTGGTTAATAAGACCAAATGAGATCCTTTTTGTTCCGTGAAGTGTACCGGACGCGAAATACAATGTAAAAGACGTTATATCCTGGATAGAGGATTGTTGCTTTGCTTTCGTTTGTTGACCCAGTCACCAAGCCTTTTATGTTACTTAGTATATACTTCTGTGAAAGGTTGGGAAATCTCGAAACTGGAGATACTACAGATCAAAATATGTGAATTGACCTGAACATACCTTAGTCCAAAAGCTGATAGTTTGCGAGATAGAGGGTGTCAAAGTTACAATATTATTTTCTATTTTTTTCCTTATTGCTTGAGAATTATTTCAGATTTTGGCATAAAACTCGGTATAGGGAGGTTTTCTAGTATGAGAAATAGGAATCCGTTATTTTTTATAGCCAAACTTCTAGAGGGTGCCACTTACAGTACTATTTCGGTAAGCAACTTATCATAACCTTTTTTGTGCTATCCTGTATAAAACAACTGACCGGAAAATCTTATTTTTTCGTACTTCCACAACAAAAAAGGTTTACTTGTTAGAAGTGAAGGCTAATAGTTTTCGAGATACTTGTTTTTAAAAGTTCCAATGCATTTTTTGTATTATGATGATAAAACATGTTTATACCATAATAATCAAGTTGCTTTGGATAATATCTGAGTAGCGTTGCTATGGCTTCTCATGTTTGTCATAATATTGCTTTAAACTTCATGAATAATTTTAAGTTGACAATAAGTTGTTACACATCATGGAGTATGTATACACCTTGTATCGCGTAAACTATCAACTTTTGGACTAAGGTATGTTTAGGTCAATTCACATATTTTGGTCTGTAGTATCGAGATTTTTCGCAAGCCGAAGTCATAATATGTAACATAACCTATATAAAAAATGGTTTCAACTTAAATTGTTACTAAAATTCATTTTAAATTGACTTTAAACTTGGGGAAGAACAATATAACCTACCTGTAAATAAAGTACCACTTTGCACACCGTCGCACCAAACCACCATGTGCTGGTGACATCCCAAAGAAGTGACGGCGGCAGACAGAAGAGTATCACTAGGAAATCAGCCACAGCTAGGTTCACTATAAAATAGTTGGTGACAGTTCTCATAGTGTGATTTCTGTATACGGCTACGCACACTAGGCTGTTGCCCACGAGACCGATGAGAAATACCACGCAGTGTAGGGCTATCATCAACCACATCCACCTGAAAAGGAAATACGTATAATTCATAGTAGGGTAAAAACTAAGATTCCACGAACTGGCCTTGCGGGCCATATCTAATCTAAATTATTCTAATTTTTTTTTCTGCAAGCCGTTTTTTTTCACTCGCATGCTACCCAAAAGAAAACCTGTCCTTGGTATGTCAAGAGTCTCTTTCTCTCTGTATGATCGTTCAGAGAGGTTTATACAAAAGTCAAGTTATTGACGTATTGTCAGGAGTGTCTCGTGAAAAGCGCTTTCGAATAAAGTATTTTTCGAACTAAACACCCTGTATATTTTAGTGAGAAGTGCTAGTTTGTAATAGTTTTTATTATTACTTTTATCAACAAATTATATTTTGCCATTTATTGATGTATATCTAAGTTTAAACTTGATTACATCTAGCCGCTTACGCAATCTAGCGTAACTCCCAATAAACGATTTAATCATATAATTTGAATAAAATGAATAATTTGAATAATAAAAGAAATATTATTTTTACTTAAGATATTCAGGGAGCTTTATTTAAAATGCTTTTCAACTTAGTAACACTTTTATGAGATACCCTGAGCACAAAAAAGTATATTGCATGGAAAACCTTATACAGGGTGCGGCAGAGAGGACGGACGTTTTTGGGATGGGTAGTACTCTCCGCCTCCGTCTACGAGAGAGGTGGGGAGGGTGCCGTTTGACTCATGAGATCCTAGCATTATTTTGCCAGTTGTCATTATGGAGCCTTGGACGGTGGAGCACCGCGTTTTCGCCAATGATTGTTTCATCGGTTTAGAGCTGTTCCCTCTCGAAACACCATCCTTCGTTGGGTTAAATCTCTTCGCAGGCATGGCGAACTAATCAACAGAAGACAAAGAGGAGCGCCGCGAACAGTTCGAACTCCTGAAAATGTTGAACGCGTTCGACAGGCCTTTCTTCGCAGTCCGACTCGATCTGCTGGAAACATGCTGCTGCACTTCGCGTTAGTGATCGTTCGGTAAGGCGAATTTTGCATATGGATCTCCGCTTTCACTCCTACAAATTGGCCATTGTGCAACAGTTACAGCCCGGAGATTATGCACAACGAATGAACTTCGCACGTTAGATGGAAGCACTGATCGATCAAAATGAGAACCTCATTTTGTTTATGAGACACCTCAAGGCTAGAGTATACGCGAACAAGCCCCGAACTCTGGACGAATTGGAGGGCGAAATTCGCGTGGAAGTCGCCCAAGTTGAGAGAGCGATGTTGGAGAGAGTCTATGCGAACTTCCAAGAACGCCTCCAGCACTGCATCAACGATTTCGGCCACCACATGCCTGATGTGATTTTCCACACTTGACTGTCTCAAATGCTAGTACCTTGTGAACCTGATTCCATCAATAAATTTGTTTTCGAGTAAAAATTAACTATTTTATGATTTTTTTAAAACCGTCCATCCTCTCTGCCGCACCCTGTATTTATAATAATAATAACAATAATAATATTATTTTTATTTCTTTACTACATCATCTTAATGCGCTAAGGTAAGATTAATGGCGAAATTTAGCGGTTGCTACTCTTACATTTAACCATAAAGGTTGCTAGCAGATTATGTTAATGATAATTAAATATAATTTACAAAAAAATTAAAATAAATTTTTAGTAATAAATTATTACAATAAAGCGAAAACTTGCATGTGTTCCAAATCAAAGTACACCTCAAAGTAGGAAGCAAAAAAAAACACGATTGTGTAATCAAGTCATTGGAATAATGATGATTTCACGTTTTGTCGAAAATCTAGTAGAGTACTGTTTATATAATTTTTGTAAATAATTATACATGGTGGTAGCATTGTAGGAGTAACTGCGTTGGAATAGGATTGTTGAATTCTGATTTATCCTGATAATTTTATCTTTAAGTGATCTAGAATGAATATCGTCGCTAAATGAAACGTTTCCCCAGGTAAGGCGGTTTCGACGTAAGGAATAATCTATGGATGAAAACCGATTAGTGATGTGTAACCAATTACTTTCATCTAATTGAGTTTTGGATATATTGCAAATACTTGATCAAATTTGCAGAGTTCAAAAAAATGATCACAATTGTTTTGAATGGTTCGAATTAGGTTTTTGGTATATTAGTCTAAACATGGATATATATATATATATATATACTATATATTAGAGTAAAATAGAACAGATATGACCAAGGATTCACATTTCTCATGTAACTTGAAATCTAGTAGATGTTTGTTTGCAATTAGAGTACGTAGATAAGTTTTCTGTGAAAGACTTCTGACATGTTCGGACCTTCAAGATTGATATTGAGTGATCCTTCTTTTTTTTGGTACAAAATAATATTTTAGACTTTTGAGGGTTAATAACCATCTTATGATCAGACGACTAATGGATTAAACCATCAACATCATTTTGTAGAGCTTTTACAGTGTTTTCGACATTCTTGGGATTAGAATAATCTAAGGATTGTGTATCGTCTTCGAAAGACTGGACATGTGAATTATCAAGAATTTTGTACAGTCAAAAGACTATATCAGAAATAATAGTGGTCCTAACTCAGAACTTTGAGGCGTGCCTGAACGCATTGTAGTCCCCTAAGAAAATTATCTATGAGTACGAACACATTGTATCCTTTAACCAATATAACTTCTGAAAAGTGAAAGAGCTAATCTATCATTACTAATTTAGAAAGCTGAAATTCCTGATTGATGCTATCAAAAGCTTTAGGGGAATCTATAGATTCTAACGTTAATATAATTGTCTTATCTTAGGCTCTTGCAGATCGACTAGCGCGGCGGTGGTACTATAATTTTGTCTAAAGCCAGACTATGTATCAGGAATTATAATTTTTTAAGATAAGTAGTTAGACCATATAATTTTTCGACGTTCAATAAAAGTTAGGCGGGGGTCAACACCATACTTCAATGTTTCACCTTTCTTACCATAGTATCGATCCTATAATGTATTCCATCGAAATGTCGATGTAGTCAGTGAAATTATCGTAGGTAACTTCATTTCTGAAGACAAAGTGCGTCGGCGCCAATTTGTCTGAATCGCTGAACGTAACGAAGTTCGCTGCACGTACAGTGGCGTTGTCATAATTCATGACTGTGTCCTCCATGTAGGTCCTATTCAATGCATGTTTCGATGAGTCCGTTCGAGAAACCATCAGAAGCGCGATTAAGATGCTGATTGTGGATAGCGGCTGCATCATGAGGTGACCTGAAATAAAACATAATTTTATGTTGAATGTACTCAATTCGATCAATTTGAAACCTTTATATACATTATGCTACACATATGATGTCTTTGGGTTATACAGGGTGTTTCAAATTTGACCCTTACCACTGGGATCTCTCAAACAAACTGTAGGAGATACGAAGTCGCTTAAATGGGGGCAAAGTTACATATTTAGGTAATAAACAAAATGCCGTTTGGAAAGTTTTGAAATACAAAGTACTTCCGGAGACAAACGGCAAAAACTTAATTTTCCCAAAATTGTTTCAATTTTTCCTGACTTTATTTGTAGTGGGATTTCTAGATAAATTCTTCGTTAGCATTGCATCTTTTTCTCCTCTGCAAGATGGCTTAATTAGAATTTCAATATGACGTATCCTCCTTGTCCTGCAGCATTAACTTTATTTTTTCTTATAGACCCCATATTGGATTTTTACACAGATGAATAGAGTTTTTAATTCTGACTTCACAAAGGTAATATGTGATAACTATTGTCATTGCCAAATCTTCATTATTTCAAAGAACGCAGAATTTACTAGGTAGGCCTCAAAATTATCAGATAGCCATTTGTTTATTATTTATCCCAAAAGTCACTTTTAGCTTTTCCCGACTTTATTTGGGATGGGGTTCCAAAATAAATTGCATGTTAACATTGCCACCTTTTCTCATCTACAAGATAGCGTAATTAGAAATTCATTATGACGTTTCGTCTCTTGTTCTCCAGCATCAAAATTATTTTGTGCTCATGGACACCATATAGGATTTTTGCACAGATGAATAGAGCTCTTGATTCTGATTTAAATTATTATTGATATGTCACACATTGACATTACCAAACCTTAGTTATTCCAGAAAAACAGAAGTTCCTACCAGACCTCGAATTGAATGTGGCAACGGAGTTTGTACGACTGAGAAGAAGAGAAGTAAATCGAGCAGTGAACAATGTACAGAAAAGAGTCAGGCTTTGTCTACAAAATAGCGGACAACATTTTGAACATCTGCTATGATTTACCTCTGGTATTTATTATTATTATTAGTATTATTGTTATCAGCATTTGCATTTTATATTTAGGTTTCACAATGCCTTTTTATTTCCTCATAATCTTCATCCAACAAAAAATTCATAGCCAACTAAAGAAATATGTCACTGAATTTAGGACTGAAAAGTCCAATAAAATGTACAAAATTCCAATATAGCGTCCAAATGAAAAACAAAGATGAAGATGGAGGTCGGAAGAAGAAATGTCGAATTGAAAGTTTGACTACGCCATCTGGTACAGGAGAATAAGTAACAATGACAACATGACATTTATTTTGAAATCCTGTATCAAATAAGGTCAGAGGTAAAGCTGGTATATGAAACAAATGATAATTTCAAGGCCTACCTAGGAAATTCTGCTGCTTCGAAATAGCGAAGGTTTAGCAATGTCAATATATGACGTACTATACATTTTTGAAATCAAAATCAAAAACTGTATTCATCTGTGCAAAAATGAAGTTGATGCTGGACGACAAGCGACGAAACGTCGAATTGAAATTCTAACTATGCCGTAGAGGAGAAAAAAAGTGGCAATGTTAGTGTGTAATTTATTTCGAAATCGCACTACAAATAAAGTCGGGAAAAAGTTAAAACGATTTTGGAAAAATTCAATTTTATCCATCTCTCTGCGGAAGTTCTTTGAATTTCGAAACTTTCTATTCCTATTTTGTTAATTACTCAAATGCGCAACTTTGTCCTCCTTTAAGCAACTTCGTATCTCTTACAGTTTCTGAGATCTCAATGGTGAGGGTCGAATTTGAAACACTTTGTATATAAGCAATAAAAAATAAAAATATATTGCTTTTGTATTCACTCAAAATATGTTCTTCTTAGGACAGGGGTCAAATACGAGGACGTAGGGTAAAACCTTTTTACAAAGTATGATTATTATGAGATACCGAGCACAGTACGCTTGAATTTTGTAGGCTGGATTTCACATCGCTGACTTGACTGGTTGATTGGAATTGACTTCACTGATTTGTCTTCCTCGGTGTTTTTAAGAAATTTCTTATAGGCCTGATCCAGGCATATTGCCACACTGTCATTTTGTAGCATCTCCCGGATTATGTCATCTAAGATGCAGTAGGGGAACTGCCTACGTTTTCATATACCTTCGTAAGGCACCTCTCTAATTTAAGAATGCCACTTATACTTATACCTGAGAACACAGGAGTAAGTCCGTATTAGTACTGGGTAGATGCATGTTTCAGTTATTAGAAACCATACAAACATTTCTATTTTAAACTACCCCGCGTAAAGTTGGTTTTATTACTTGCAGCCGCTCAAGCAGGGTCGATATTTTTCAACGTATAGTATAGTATAATTAGTTTCATACTCATTTCATAACCACCTGTCGCTAAGGCAACCTTGGTACAATTGTATGTTACCTACGCACGTCGCATTTCCCATTCTGAGCCTACTCCTTGGATACACGTGGAAGGAACAAAATATGGTAACCTGTAACTTTTTCATAATTCTTTGATGTAATCTGAACAGCTTTTGGATAAAATCAACATCGTGACGAATATTCTAAATAATTTTCAATAAGTTTAAAATATTGCATACTGCATTTTACTTGGCATACTAACTGCGATGAATCGCCTAAAAATCAGTTGGTATGGTGTTTTTTGGTTGTTGCATGACGTGTATGTGACAAAAACTCACGTTAATTATTTTCGTCAGCTGTCATTTTTGGTCCATCCCCATATAAAAAAGTATTGTTTGTTTTTGGAAATCGAGCCAGTGAGTCAGAACTTAGAAACTCAGACCATAGTCAAGTTTCATTCTCCAATGTACTTCTAGTCCTTCGTTCTCGCCCCAGCGTCTGGTATGCTTCACTGATGGACGCTTCTCCGAGCAATCAGGATCCAGTGAAGCAGGAATATATTTGGAAGGAAAAAACGTGCAGGAAAGGTTCGCGCTTGGATCCTGTACAACGATCTTCCAGGCAGAAATGTTTGCCATATTAATGGTAGCATACTCGGATGAGATTCAGCAGTGCACCGAGCGGAGCATATTTGTATGCTCCGACAGTCAAGCAGCCCTGAAGGCAGTGGCATACCCGAGAATAAAGTCATCCTTAATTCAGGAATGAACCATTGCTCTTCAGAGTTTAGGACAAGTGACCCTCCTTTGGGTCATCGGACACAGCGGAGTGCCGGGTAATGAAAGCTGGGGCCAAAGCACCTGCATCGGTTCCGAGCCAAGGCTGGCCATAAGCAGATGCCAGGTCAACGTCACCGTGCATGAATAATATATAGTATATCTAGAGAGAGATGGCTGCTCTTGGTGGGGATTCTCACCGGGCACTGCTAACTGAAAAGACAATTATTCCCATTAAGAGTAAGGAGAGACAGCGATCCACTTGTTGGGCTATTGGCCCGTATATTGCAGTCTAGGGACTGAGATATTGGAGGACATGTAGTTTATTAGTGAGGTATCTTTCTCAGCGAAGAGGTTAAAAGATCCTGGAGATCATGAAGATTCAACAGATTTGTGAACGTTTTTACACCCGGAGTCGGTAAAAAAGGCCAAATGTGAGGTACTTGCCTGGCTTCCCCTCCACCCACATCGACTACTGCTACTACGTCATTTATTGCCAGAGGTGTATAGGCTGTCTGCATTTTTAGGTCCGAAGTTTTATGCAGCTTTGGAGAGCTATTTGCAAATGGCAGTTGTCAGTATTGTTACTTATATACCATATACTGAGATCATACCCGTTTGTTTGCTTGCCGTTTATATGTCTCCACGATACTAGCCTATGTCGTAGTAATGATTACTAAGAGGTGTCAAACGAGAAACAAGTAGATTCAGTTCAGTTCATATCCATCTACTTGGCATTATGCTTGTAAGTTGTGAAATAAGTGTAAGGCTATGTACATTCTATGATTAACGCAACTATTGATAATGGATTCAGTCACAAATCAAAAGGACACAATCCAACCTTATCAAAAGGGATGGAAAATATCACCCCAACAGGCAGTAAGAGACATCCTCCCTGAAATAACATCTCAGCAACGACCTTGTCTCTACGATTGTATAGCGTCCATATCGTAAATACTAATATAATTTCTGATATACCGAATGAATATATGTATTCACATCATTTTCGCTATATCCTACCCAGTATACAGCTAAAAGGAGTCACACCATTTGAAGGCGCGTTTTCCTGTTTTATGGACAATATATTCCAATAAGCAATTTTATTATACTCGGATCCATGTCAAAGGTGGTTCTATTAAACTGTACCTCATATGCCTGGTACAGCGTATTGTGTTCTTGACGTTTTTACGAGGAGAGCATTATGCATATCTCATCCGACTTGCCCTGCAGAAGCCAGATATTTTTCCCGTAACGCTGTTTCTTCTGGCAAATTTTATTCTGGTCCTGTCTCTGTACTTGATCGAACATGAATTGTATAGTAATACATATTACGAGGCTTGTTCCTCATGCCCCGCCCCGAATAAAATTGCAGATATTTATTTAATGAAATTTTTTCAAAGTACGATAAGTAGTCTTAGTAGTCTACGTTAATAACATATGATATATGGGGGTTGATCCTCATGCCGTGCGCTTAACCCATTTGCACTAAAGCCACATTCAATTTATATTATCTATTACACACTAGCTGACTCGACAGATGTTGTCCTGTCTTAGCTATGTCATTCCCCCATCAACTTAGCTTGAAAGTAGGCATACAATAATGTGGAATGAATTTTGTTGCGCCAAATGACGTTATTTGAAAACAATTATTGTATTGCTGGATATGACTCACAAGATACAGGGTGACTTTGAAGTTGAGTCATTAATTTTCAGATAATGACTGTAGAAGGAAGATAAACCAACATATGCGTGTAAAAATAAAAAAAATTAAAAAAAATGTTACCTTGTTTTATAAATTATCCTCCCGACAAGTATTTCAGTGCGGACCTGTATTTGTTCGTGCGGTCTTGGAGCACCGGCATGCTCTCCCCTGTGAGGTCTTAAGTCACCTGGT